TATATATATATATATAACGAATAAAACATATTGACCTCAGTTCCTACGCGGCTTCAAGTTTAAATGTTCCCATTCTGTAATAAAATCTGACTTTACTCTCTTGTACAGTGACTTGGCGGCAATTAAGTGGTCGCGGAACAGTCGCTGGGACCCATAAGGGAGGCGCAGACTGTTTTGATTATGGCCGGGTTGGCCGTCCAGAGTCAGTGGCGGAGGCGATAGGTTAGGTCAGGGGCTACCGAATAGGCTAATTTCCTGTGGTGATATCACCCTGTGAGTACAGGAACTATTAGATTAAGTTGTTGATAGGGTTAATAGTGTTTATGCGTTTAGGAGAAGATTGACCAGATACTATTACTTGGAAGCGCTATCAGATTACTCAGATGACACTTGAAATATGGTCTTACTTTAATTCAAATTATTGTAGGTAAATGTGTTATTTTAAGAAGGAACGTTTTTGGTAATATAAATAATGATGCTTTATTTAAATAAATTATTTACAATACTGGTCAGACAATACAATGAGTTGGTAACTAGTAAAGCTAAATTAAATATAACCTTCATTTTATAAAATTTATTGACCTTATTTTATAAATTATTTGATGACATGATACAGTAAAGTCTACTTAAGTCAAACATAGCCTTCATTAGAACACTTCAAAAAATATGCTTCTAAGGAAAACATAATTAAAAATAAAACAATTAAAATAAAACAATAAAAATCGATCAAATGTCCGCATAGCATGCCCTCATTTGAAATAATGTTTACTAAGAAAACACCGAATAGAATCTCAAATTATGAGGCGAAGAAACGGAGATAATCAATGTAATGTTGACTCGTGTATGTTGAAATTTCATTAGCTTTAAACAAATAATTTGTGGATTAATCTTGTAAAAGGCCTTATACGTTTAATATGACTATTAAGATAATTAAAAAATCCTGTAAAAGTTCTCGTACGTTTAATATCACTACTAAGATTCTTTAAAAGTCCTGAAATATATTTTACTTGTGCTTTTCATTCGGAATCTCAGAGGGGTTTTGTGACGTTTGAAGGGGTGTGGGGAATGTTTCGTTCCCGGCGAATCCCATTTAATAAAACTACTGACAACTGTCGTTTTACCAACTTTCAAGGTATTTTATAACAATACATTAAAACGCGTGAAGTAAATTTTGAATTTTGATTGTTACGGATGCCAAATATTCTAACCACTAGCTACCGTGTTTGCATTGCGGCGATTTCGAAACTTCAAGATCTTGCCCCTAGGCTGAACTAATTTAGAACGTGACGGATAGAGGGCACTGCAAAGGAAATTCTCCCCAAAAATTGTTCGCCTGACCGGATCGACCAATCAGAGACTTTCTGAGCAAGATCTAAGATTTCTGTTTTGCAGCCGTTTTGACGAACGTCGCCGTAGGGAAAGGATCTACTTGAGAACGTGGTGTGTTACTGAAGAACGTTGAAGATACATTGAACAGAAGCTCTCGTAAGAGGTAACTATATTTTGAATACGGACATTTTAAAATGACTTTAAATCAAAGGAAGAATTATGTTACAATAATGTCAGGAGGAATAAATGTATTGTTGCATTTTTACAAGAGTACTACAACGTGTATCTTAAATGCACTGAAGTGGTGTTTAAATAAGAAACTAATATGAAGGGTATTATCTTTCCTTGCAGCTTCTTGCCTTTTACTTATTTTCTACAACTAAATTTTAAAATATTCTTCTGCCGCTTATCTCGCCACGTACTCCCATTCCTTTCTTACGTTATTCCACCGAGAGAATGTTGAATGGATTTGATCGACATTTAATGACTGCACGAGGCAGCGGGCGAGCGAGGGCGCCGGCGTCTCTGATTTCTACGCTCGAGCCACAGACCTTGAAAGCACCCCTCGGCCACCGTTCTCAAGCACACCGAGAAGTCACCGACGACGTTGCGTGAGTCAGTGAACTGCTTGCAATTATCTGCATTTGTTTGCTCTTTGTGTTAGAAAAACTGGTAGAATTCCTAATCTAGTTTCAACTCGGTTATTTTAAAGATTCCTTTTCATTTTATAACTATCGCTGCGACGTACTGAAGACAGAGGGCTTATAAAGTACCATAAATGACGTTAGCTAAAGCGAGATGATATAAATGATAAGAATTATTTCACAATATTTGTACAGAGACCCTGACTAGAAAAAGTAACGAATTGAAAATTAAATGTTTGACTTGTTACATACTAACAAACGGGAAAACTGGAATATTTTCAAAAATAATTTATTTAGTAGCTGTGAAAGTAAATATTCATTTAGAGGATGAATAAAAAAGTAATTAACCAAGCCTAAATATTCAAACATCATTATGCAACCTAAATGCCCAACAATTGTAATCGAGTATAATTAGTATTTTTACTTTCTCGTGCGCCGCAACGTAAGAAGAGAAAGGATGGTAATCTTTTGGCGAATGTTCGACACAGAAACTCTGATTGCTGGACCCTAGTAATGAGAAAGTGGATAAATACAGTTGCTAAATGTAGAAAAAAATTCCTCTAACACGTAGTGTAGCCAGTAGTGTAGTGTAGTTGTGTGCTTACTCGATTGACCGAAAAGTCCTCTTGTCCTCTTGTCCGTTTGTCTGCCTTTTAAAAAACGCCATGTACAATTTTTTGTAAAAGTAGTTTTTGCCAAATTTCTATCTGAAATTAATGAAACGTATATAGGCGTCCCGCCAACTATGGGTCACAAGAAAAGTTATTCGAAGAACAGAATGGATAATATGCAAAATAATTAATGTTATTTTAATTATAATTTAGTATTGAAAATTTTTATTCCCGCTCCTTTTTTCCTGCGCTTGAGGATAATTTGAGAGGTTTTCTGTCTACCAAAACAAACACAGGTATGCATCACAGGCGCGTCGTTTGAATTAAGTGGATTTGGATTATATTATCATTATTTCTAATTCTTAACATGCAAGAAAAATTGAAAAAATTGAGTACCATAAATTTGTACTAACATTTTAACACTAATTTGATATGACCATGGGAAACAATGGAGCAATGTATATTTTAGAAGTTCATTCTTGACAAGATAATGAAATCTCTTTGCATTCTTTTGTTTTTGAACATTAACATGATTAACATGGAATCATTACAAGTCTTTGTTGCATTTATTTATTTATATTTTTTATTTAAGGTCGAAATATGGGCGCGAAAAGTTTCTTTTTCGATTAGTAAAGAGAATTTGGGGATTTTTTCAGGTTTGAAAACGAATGGAGCAAACGAATGAAAAAACTAAACCCCACCCCTGGTCAACCCGGACAATTCCTTTTTCTGTATTTGCTCTTGTGACATCCAGTGTGAGTCCGGATGTCACGCCTGGAGCATTTTTTGTTTTACATGGTTGAGTCATCTGGACCAGAAACCACAGCAAACTGAAACCCCTGGGATGACATGTTGTCACTCAAGACCCTGGGGCAAGTGAGGTCGTAATGTAAACTTCGATAAAGTGCGTGGTAACTAGAACATGTGTAGGGTTATAGTTGAATTACAAAAAATACATCGTTTTCTACGTAAGTTTTATTTACTACTGGTTTAATTGATATTTTACTGTTTCACCGTCCCAAGAACTTACATGATAAACAATTATAAATGCTTTGTTTGGCTTTGTATTCGAGAGGTCCTCTTAAAAGCGAATGTTATTTCAAGTTCTGCATCGTGTATAGCACTTTTTTCTTTTTTCCTTTTCTGTTCTTTTTTTCGTTTGCTTTTCTTTGTTTTCTTTTATTTCTTTTCCTTTTCTTTTATTATTTTCGTATTCTTTTTCATTTCTTTTCTTTTCGAGGAAAAGAGGTAAACATCACATGAAACGTTAAGAAATTTTTGGAAAAGAAAAAATCAACGTATGTTATTCGACAGTTATAATAATCTGTGTGGGAACTTCATACAACCCGCGCGAGTACTTCAGGATTATACTTATTTTTCGCATTTCTCATTAAGATTTTATATTTTAGATTCGCTTTCATACATTTCTGAAGTATTGGTTAATTATAATATATGCTAAAACATGTGTGACAACGTTTAATCAAAGAATCTGTTGCCAAGTACATCATATCATCAGCAGCCGTTGCTTGTTAGTTAGGCTCAGGGCGTGTAACATGCAGAATCGATACTTCTGAAGATTCTCTACGCATTTGAAAAACAAATAGTGCCCGCATTGTTCATAAACAAGGGCGGCGAAAACCGAGCCGCACCTGCAGTGACAGCCGCACAGCCGCGTCCCAGCGACACCGGCAGGGCCTCTCCGCAGGGCGCCTCCTCCTCCGGGGTCCCTGCCGCTCCTCCGCAAGGCCTGCAGCGGCGACGGGGCGGGGAGGTGGAGCGATTCGGGCACACCCGGGAGGGCTAAACGGAGTTGGGAGGCGCGTGGAGGAGAGGTGTGAAGCGGGGAAGAGCAGGGAGGAGCGTGACGAAGAGAGGACGATTTGGCGGAGATGGGAGCGGAGAACCGGGGGGAGTCGGGGTGGAGGAGACGAGTTTGCGAAGCGGGAACGAGGGGAGGGAGGTGTGTGGGACCGAATAAGCAGGATGGCGTGTGAGCCGGAGCTGCTTGGCGGCTGGTGGAGAGGACGTGGAGCAGGCCGTGGGAGCGTAGGGTTGTGCGGGGGCGAGAGACGTTGGGGCTGCGGGTGACCGCGGTTTGGGGGAGTTTCCGTCGGGGGCGACGGGGCGTTGTGACGCACGGAATAAAATGCCCTCGCAGGGGCGTGTCGCAGCCGCGTCGCGCGCTTGTTCAGGCGTCGCAGGGGCGGGTCGCGCGGCGCCCTGGCCGCCAGGGCGCGCGGTCCCTCAGCCCATCCGACCCCCTGCCCCCTGCCCCCCGCCGCCGCGCGACAAACCAGAGGGGGATTTACAGAACAAGAAGGGACCGAGAGGACCGAGAGAAAAATGGAATACAGGAACTCATGACAAGATAGCCCATAGCACGATTTTTTACACACGTTCACCAATTATCTCCATCCCTCGTAAATAGTATAGACGAGGATTTACTGCTCACTCTTTTTATATAATAGGAATTCTTTTGAGTTTAGATAACGAAAGAAAATAACATTTTTTTGAATCTCGGATTTTATTACATCTTCTTCTGAGCTTCAACAAAAACAAATTGTGATAATGTAGTGACCAAATGTAACCAATAACTTAAACCCATGTACAGTAACTAAAATTTCAATTTAAATATCTGTGGATTGACTTAATATATTGCAACATAGGCTACATAGGTGTTTAATAAACATCGTTCTGCTCATCTTTGTATGCACTAACAATACAATGCACATGTTCTGTATATAGCAACATCGTGATGTCCGGTCTCGCGAAGGCCATACACGATCTGTCCACGATAGAGTCTGACACGGTCATCCAGATCATGGATATCACTCTAACTTTCTAGGCAGGTATGAAGATATGTATGTTCACTCGTACATACTCGTAGGTGGATAGGGTGCCAATGTTGTCTGTAGAGGAGACAAGGTATAGTAGAAGAAAAGGAAGGAATGCTAGATAGGAGCGAAGAGCAAAGAGATAATGAAGGCGAAGCAATCCAGGCCTAGCAAAGAGGGAAGGATGGACGGGAAGAAGTAGAACAAAATGGGAAACACAACATATTTTGCGAACTGATGTCACTGCAATGTCTGTGACTGTGAGGTCGACGTTTCGAGTCGCGGCGGTGGCAGGATTTTCGACACTAGCTACATAGCTAGGTCGAATTCGTCCGCTTTCTGGAGCAGAATTGTAGCGGCCGGCTGCTCTGATAGGTAATTTTGCGGGTTTTGCCAATGAACAACAGGCGAATGCCGGAGCAGTACCCTAACAAGCGGGCTACGGACCGCGCGCGATCTTTCCTTCCCCTTCCTTGTCCTATCCTCATTCCTTACACACACTTACTGTTTGTACTAATCAATATTTAATCAATGACACGTGTCCAACCAAACCACACATGGCCGGAGACCGGTCGGGAGCTTTGTGTTTGTTCTGGCTGGGGGTGCCCCGCTGGTGGGAGGTACCTGGTTGATGGGAAACCCCGTTAGCTGATGGTAGGTCGGCTCCGGATCTCACCATCGCCACCTCTAGAGGAAAATATGTGCACAAGCTAATGACCTTAGCGGTTGACGCGCCCTGAATCGCGTATCAATCATAATTTGCAATGAAAGTAGATAAAAGGGAGGAGAGAGAAGTAAGAAATCTAATGAGAAACTTACGAAAAGCAACAAATGAAAGAGGAAGAAGGAGAGAGCGGGTACCATTTCCACTTATTTTAACAGTGAAGTAAGTGTTAGGAGGTGAGGTTTGGTAAGTGTTGGTACGATAGGCTACAGTTAGATGCTAATCATGGAATGCAAATTATAGAAAAATGTAATTCAGGATCATTGTTAGACAGAGTTCACAAAACTTAAGCATTTGGGATACTTCATACGAGATAAGTGATTAATAGCATTGTATTTTCATCTTCTTTAATTTTGAGAAAAGATCCATGGATAATTATAGTATTAATACGACAATTTGGGAAATAAAATTTGGGAATACATACAATTATATTGCTTAAAATATGTTATCTTTATGTCATGTTGTAAAGATGAATAACTGTTTGGGAATCATATGCATTTTATTTGTTTTCAGGACAATACGAAAATTGTATCATCTTTAAATGAACACTAAATTCAGAAAGTGCGACTGAAGCAAAAAAAGAAAGATTGTTCCGTATTGGAAGGGCAGATACTAATTATTGCGTTGCAGTAGACTGCACTGCAATAATTAGTAGTGTTGAAGTAGAAGCATATACACTCGTACTTTATTCTACCTCTGGACGTATCTCGCATACAGGAAACTGCTATAGAGCAAATAAATCTTAAATTTTAAACGATGAGATGGTCAGAGGAAGAATTGCTTCGTTCGTTACCTCCCGCGTTGGGAAACAAGTTGAGTAAAGTGGGGCACATTAAAGCTTAAGGCACCACGCCGCGCATTAGCAAGATTCATTCCCTTTAATATCTCCCTCTGGTTATTTATAACGCAGCTAACCATTTCGAGAACACCCTGTGTGCAACTTACTCTTCCCGGGGCGAGAGAAATACGTGGCAACCAATTTCGGCGGTGAGACCTCACTCTGTCCCTCCGTCCCCGGCCGCGGCCGTAGCGCGCGCGCTGTTCCTCCGCTTTCATTCGGATCGCGCAGCGCCCT